AAACATTTTCAATATCCCGAAGATGTAAAGGTCTTGTTAAAAGTGGCTCGATTGAATATTGTTGTTACATAATAATAGCAGTGTGTATATTCCAAGATAGGCAAGTTGCTTAACATAAAGACAACTAATTTGAGAATAATTTATTATCGCAGAACGAGGAAAAAAAAGCAATGATCTATTATACAGTTCTGAATGCGGTTCCCTGTATAGCAACCTTCGTTACAATTGTAAAATGTTATAATGAGTTGCTTTATAAAGGACTATAGTTGAGAACTGGCAGATATTCTTTTTCGTTCTTTATTTGCATTTTACAAGTAAACAAAATATGTAATTCGGTGAATGGCTGTTCGGTCCTTAGCCTGGTACGAGATTGATAAAAAAAGTGTCGATGTGAATTTAGAAGTTCATATGGAGGAGTTTTAATAACTTGCAAGTTTAAGTGCCACGCTACTTAGGCATATTCAAAAGATCAGTGTTTCAAAAGCTTTAGTCACTGGCCAATTTAGGTATTTATTGCCTCATTATTTTTTAACGCATATTATAAGCTGAGATTATAAAAAAAAAAAACTACTTTGTATATCTGTTCTTACAGATGTCGTTGGGATCAACCCTGATCGAGGAACCCAAATAAAAAAACAAGAAAACATACGTAAACAAAGAGGTTCTTGAGTTAATTGACATGTTGGAATATAAATGGAAATGCAAATAGATATAACATCTTTTTACTTTTCTTTGACAGCACGGTCACAAATATTAATGCATTGGGTGCTGCAAGAGCAGCCGACCTCGCCGCAGACAAAATTTTCTGTGCATAACTGCTTATTCACTTTAGATATGCGCGATTAGTCAGTTGAACAGTGCAACACAACAGCCCCAAAATACTTGGCCGACCTTTTTTTTACGTTGTATGTTTTACTTTGTTCAAATGACTATAATGGTGTGGTCCAGTACCATAGTTATCAACACTGTACAGTCGCATAAAAATGGACCGTAAAATTTATGGTCAAATACGATGCTGCCAAAATTGTGCAGTAAAAATAATGGTGCACTGTAAATCTGGTTTACGATAAATTTAAACGGCGACTGTAGAAATCTATGGTCGCCGTTTAAAGTGCACCGTAAAAATAACGGCGCGCTGTAAACCTTTTTACCGTAAATTTGAAGGCCGACCGTAGATTTCTACGGTCCCCGTTTAAATTTATCGTAAACCAGATTTACGGTGCACCGTTATTTTTACTGTACAAGTTTGGCAGCATCAGCTGCGTGGTATTTGACCGTAAATTTTACGGTCCGTTTTTTACAGTGCATATACCCATGCTTTAATAAAAATACTATTCTCAGCTGTGCAGTCCAAATTTGATCAGGGTTTCCCATTCATATTTTTTGCACTTTTACCAGAGATGAAATCTTATCCACTAAGTCACATGAATGTTTCCAGGATGGCACCATTGTACGGTCCTTGACTCTTCTGGAAACGACGCTGTAGCGACTGGTTCCTCCAGATAGACAGGGCGTTCGGGTGTCTTTCGATATTGCGAGGTCTATGCAGGCCGAGTGCATCTGGCACTGGCCAAATTTGCGGATGTTGCTTCAAACCGCCCAGCGACTACGCGAACCACCTGAAAATCACTTAAATGCAACAGGTCTTACATACAATTGGATACTCGTCTGCAAAGGCTTGCTGCCACTGCAGTGCACCATCGCTTGTTGATGTGAAAATCCGTACGACCTCGTAGCATGCGTCCAAAACCTGACTAAGGCCAGGTGATGGGAAAGCTCCTGCACTTAAAAGTACCCCGTGTGGTTGGTAGCAACCCCTGCTCAAATACTGTTTTGATATGATCGTATGTGGCACTACTGTGTGGGATGGCCTCTGAACCTCGCGCGATTTTCCTGCCATAAAAAGAAGTCAAGACGACATTTGCAGTATTGAATCATTCACAACCAGCTAGAGTTTTGTAAGGAAAATGGCAATTATTTTATAATAATAAAAAAACTGAGTCTTCCTCTTTGTTCCACAACACCCCAAGAGTATTTTGAAACAGTTTGAATTCAAGAGTAGTTTGGTACTACACAGTATTATGAAGCCAGTACAGTGCAAAAAAACCACAATTTGTAGCCCTTTAGACACATAATAATGCAAGCAACTATGTCTAAAAAAAGAAAAATAGAAAGATTGCTTTGGCAATTGTCACTCTTGTGGCAGGCTAGTGCAAGACACCAGGGAAGGGCACCTTGAGCCAGGCCCGGAAACACACTGTAGACTATTTATAGATGTAGTGAAGGCATGTTTCTTTACCAATGCAGGCTGATGCATTATCTGGCAGGGCACACGAAATGATCTTCATCATCTAAGATGGGGAAACTCATTGTTGGTTGGAAGAACACCATTTCAAATTCGCAACTGCCTGTTCCTAGCCATCTTAACTTCCTTTTGTTATTGCAGGATGCATTTATATGCACAGATTCATTGAGTGAAAGTACACTGCTGCTAATTCCTGCAACGTCCAGATACTCACTTTTACAGAAAGCTTGAGACCAATTGTACAATTCGAAAATCTGCAGTTAAAGCATGAAAACAAAGATCAACTGAAGCACATATCAAGAAGAGAGACAGCTCAGTTGCATCATGCTGTACACAGCAACTAAAAACACTATTTATGTGGAAAAAAAATATAGCTTTGTTGTTTTAACTTGCAGGTTGAAGGTTTGGGGAGAATATTCAATTGTTTCCATTCTTTGCCAGAAAGTTCAGAGTATTTTTTCAGTCTCTATACAACTAAACAGACCTAACATCTTTTGGGAGGCTGTTGTGTGGAGTGGAGACACCGCAGAAACTTTCAAGCCTCTCTTCGGCACGCTATAGCAGTTAAACCTAAACCACCATAGCTAGCGTAAAGATTTCAGGTTGTTGTGCCTAGCAGAAGAGCATGAGAGAACCATCGCACATCTTTTTTTAGTGCTGTTGTGTGTCAAAGTGAAACTACCATGCCGACAAAAAAGTATCTAGTTGTTTCTGGAGGCATCCTCAGTTCAAACGGCTTTGCCAGAGAAGCTCCAGGGTTCGAGCAGCAGCAGGCGTTAGGCAGTGACACCTGCAGATCAGACTTGTCTGTAGCGGTGTCTCAGTGACATGTTTTGCAAAGCGTTCTGAAGCAGCGTTTGCATGGATGCAAGCCAGTTCCTGTAGGCAATCAGAGCGTGGCAGCGTTACAGCCGAAACTCGAGTTGCAGGTGCACATGTGAAGCTGTGGTAGTTTAATGCTTTCCATAAGCAGCACCTGCAGGCGGGTTTGGGGCACACACCTATGGAGCAAGTGCTTTTACACGAGTTTAAAGTTTCTCGACCCGTTACATAGGAAGTGACAGCTTGACCTGGTTGCTGCCATTTGCTGATACAAAGTCACCTTAACTGTGTTAGGGAGGAGTGTTTTTACATTCATGTCCATTTTTGTCACCCGCTTCGTGTTTGTACAAAGATTAATATTTTTATATGTGAACATTATGCAGAGTTTGAAGGATCTTTTTCAGTTAGGCCAGTGAAACCATAGTCATTCCTTGTTGAATTCAAAGGGCAATTCTCTATCTCTACTTTGTTTAGCCCCATCTGATGGTGTTGCATGCAGCCCCTACTCAGTATTGGGCAAATTCTCCAGGCCCGTGTCTAGTTACAGTGTCTATTTCGTCTTTCATATTTGGGAAAATTATCCCTTTAAATCACCCATGGCCAGTGGATCTAGCTCTGGCACGGCAATCAGCTCGCACAAAATTTTACCGGCTATTGATCTGCTGCTAAAGTAGGATTGAAAAAAGATAGGAAAAGATAATGACTATCCTCAGCAAAATGCTCACTTGACCTTATGCAAGGCATTATTTTAAAATATGCATAACTATTCTGGAGGCTTTCGAAAGACGTCAGTGAGTAGACATGCGTCTTGCTTAAATCTCCTATTAGCTCAACATTCTTCCAACCACAAGTAGGTTTCAAGCAGAGCACAGATCAAATTCATATATGCACACAACTGGACTTGTCTTGCTCCATTCAGTGGTGCACCTGCAGCAAAAACACGCTTTCTTCACAATAATTGCCTCGCTGACCTGTATGTTTCATGTCAGTCCATGACAAAGATACATCCAGCTGCTGTGGTTCAGCCATGCCTGCATGCTTTCATTTGTTTGGTCCACAGTATTGCAGAGCTGCTGTATTCATATCACCACCCAGTTGTCTGGATTACTTGCACAGTGGCAGTGTTGTGCATTTGTTGGTTTGCTAAGTATAGTGCTTATTGGTGTTGTTTACTTGCTATATTTCTGTTGGGGGTGATGCTACACCAGTATCACTTATTTGGAACAGGTGATGGCACTGTGGGGCAATTACAGGGGTGAGACTATTGCTGTGATCATGGGTGCATTGAGCGAGGACCCACAGACATGAGATTCTAAGGCAGGGAAGGGGTCTATGCTCAATGCTCCCAATGGTGAGCATGCTTTGGGATATCCCTTTTCATAAGCTTCTCCGTTAGACTGCGAGATTCTTGTGACATTCTTCAGTGTTTGTAAGATGCCTTGTTGTTTGGCTGTACACGGAGCCTACTGTGCAACATCCTTGTGTAAATTTGATAGGTGCTGTTCAGATGGCTCAATAAACTGAGCAAAGTGCAGTGAACGTGTTGTTTCTGGATGCCACCGATGTGACGCATGCAGTTGCAGAAAGCACACCTAGTGTGGTCAGTGTCAGTTTTAATATATATTTCCCTAAGAATGCACCAAGCGTACTTTGCCATCCATCTGCTCGAAGTATGAGGTGTTGCCCAAAACCTTGAGGAATTTCGCTTGCATTTCTTCTTCTACAAGTTGTCCACCTTGGCTGCGGTACTCGGCAAACACCTGCATAAGTAAGGGCAATCAGTTTTACATGCTCAGAAGCAGAGATTATTAGGCTGTCTGATGAGATCAGAAGCAGAAGCTGTTTGAGATTTTTTTTTAAATCTATCTAGTCTAATGGCATCATCTGAATGCTGGTGGCTTCCCAATTCCAAAACGCTATCTTATTCTCCCAGATTCATTTCAGTAAATGAAAAAAAAGTCATCTTTTGTTCACTACCAAAACCGAAGCTTCGTTCTTCCTAGTTTTTCCCACCATCCAAACGTGGAGTCACCGGCAGGAAGCAAAGCATGCGGCCAGCAATCAGGTACGCTTGCACCTGCCTTGTGGCATCTAACAGCGAGACAACGGGGGCGTTAATGCTATCTGAGGTTAATAATAATCCTTATTTGCACAAAGTCCACCTTGACTTCAAGCTGAACTATGAGAAAAACACAAAAGCAATTGCGATTTAAAAAAAAACGTTTTTGCAACTCGGCTTACTCGAGCTGCGGCTCGCTAGTTCCGCGAAATCGCTGGAGTAAATCCGTTCTCCTTGCATCACAAGCAAGCGATTACACTGGTAAAGAAAGGTAAAAGAGACTCACAATACATCTTTTGGCAAATTACACAAGCACCACGGACAATGTGTACACAGGTGCTGTGCATGCTCGTCTTACCTGAATACATGCGCCGTTTGTTTTAGATTTGCTTTAGAAAAGTTACCATGCCAGACTCTCGCACATATAACTACACTTGTAGCATGCATATGCTCCTTGGTGCTTGGGTAATTTAGCAAAACGCCCATAGGCCATTTGAGAGAAGCGCTTCTGGTCAGTGCCATTTTCAGCATCTGTGCATGCGGCATGCACTTTGCTCGCCTTTCAAAGCGACAACCATATGAGCCTGCTGGGCTGTGACTTAACACATGTGGACTTTGATTCCCATAAACATTGAACTGGTGTATAGAAGGAAATTAACCACATTCATCTGTGCCAGGTACAGTACAGGACTGCACCATAAAATTGAAAATCCAAAACAAGGCAACAAAAAGTTCTCCAAAAGAAAACTCATATCCATGTATTGTTTCTTTTGCTCACTGTCAGAGTAGAATGGAATGTGATCAAACACTCATTCACGAGTGCACATGGGGGAAGGAAGTAATTCTGCAGGCCAAAACACAGTTTACAAACAAGCCCTCATGATGTGTGGGCAAATGCACAACTTCCACGCTATGTGTGGGCACTGCGCATAAGCAGGAACCAGATTTGAGTGAAGTACAGCGGCTGCGCATGCGCCCTGCCAATAGTAGCGCCACCGCGGCGACGTGACATCAGCACCCGCGTGTTGGTGTATATTAGATCTTAAGAAATTAATTCTTGGTTTCGCATAGCCTCTATAGTGATAAATTTACACACGTCTCTCAAACAACTTTTTCTATTCAAAGAATTTTGAACTCTACGTAACATTTCTTTGCAATAGAAAAAAAAAAATGCTTTCACCACCTGTTCTGCAACAAAAAATTGCATGCTAACAATTTGACAAACATACCAGGCAACAACTCTACAGTATATATCAGAGCTCAACACCTGCTCTCTAAAACCCTAATACTACCAGACACGAAGAGCAGTGTGTTAAAAGCAGTGTTGGACAAGATACTCGACAAAGATATAAGGATAAGTTTCTAATTAAAAGCCTAATATGGTAATTAGGTTAATACTCAAGTTACTTTCAATGCAAAACACCTTGAGTAGAGTTTGAGCACTTAGAAACTGTAATTCAATTACATTCAAGGACGTTTCCACAGTATGTAATTGGTATGAACTTCACTGACATGGGAATGCTTTACTTGCGAGCAACGGAAGCAGACGGAATAAAATCACAGTGCTATTTTATGCAGTCCCAGCAGACGGGGCAGCATCACTAGTGCATGTTACAACATAATATTTTTAAGACAAATGAACAAAAAGAGGTCACATTGCTGAAAACCACACCTTATAGTAATTTTATAATGCAAATCTCGGAGCATTGTTTTACTAAGCGCTGTAGATGCTATATATGGAGCTCACATTAAACAAACTTTGGATGCACCAAGGAATGAGTGTGCCCTCCTCAAGTACGTTACCCCAGCACTGCATTTAGAGATGACTAAACTCCAAAAAGAAGTGCACAAGGCGACAGACGGAGAGGCACTGCTGCCTTTCTGGCTTGTTTATAACTATGACAAAAGTTTTTCGAGCCAAGAAAGAAATGATAATGCACGAGAGAAACAGAAAACATGCCGATAAGTTTACACTGCTACCCAGTAGATGGAGCCAGTGTGTCCTCTCGTCCAGAGCCCTGTATTGGGAGAGTGTGGTCATACATTGGTTTGAATAGGCAAGCATCTCGGGGCCAACCACAGGCAACGATATAGGCCCGTAGCGGTGATCATGAGCTCTAAAAACGCGACTCGACTAATTTTAGCCATTTATTGTCGCTCGAGTAAAAAGGTATAACTCTTGGTGACTGAAAACTTGGCGCATGTGAGGTTTTCGTCACGCCCATATCCAAGGGTAGAATAAACGAACGTACGCTCCAAACCAGGGCACAGCGTCTTAGCTGAGACGAGGAAAGAGAGCACTGCCAAAGCCAGCGCACGAGCCGAGCGGGACTCCGTGTCTCAAGACACCCGCGCGCCCCACCCCTTTGCCAGTTTTCTTTCAGCCAGTCTCAGCTGAGACGCTGTTTTAGCAAGCCGGCCCAGAGCAAGCTGTCACCGAGAAGACGAGATTGAATACTATTGCACACTTTAAATGTTGTTTCCAATATTGTGACGTCGCGGTGTGCTGATTGGTCGACGCTGTGTCGCACCTTTAGTTTACGCTTTAACCGCAAGGGAAGTATTTGGCGCTGGCCTTTGCCCCACCCATTGGCCAAACTCTCCTAATATAAGGCTCTGCTCTCGTCGTAAGAGATATTAAGAGGTTCCAAGGCACAAGGTTCTGAGAGGTCGCAAGTGCGTGAACGGGCCTTAAGGCTCCAGGACGGCCGAATGTAGACTTTTTATAAAAAAACAAGCGACCCCCTTAAAGAAGAAGAAACACAATGATATCTCGTGCGGCCGAGGTACGGTGTATGCGAACGTGCGGAACTCGTAAGCCTGTGTGGCGACAGCAAACGGAACCCAAGCCTGTGTGGCCACCCCAACCATACTGATTAAACATTCCTTTTACCACTGTGAGTATACACCCTTTCGATCTTCCGACAAGGATTAAGTACAAAGGTAACATAAAGTGCAGGTACCTATTTGGAAGTGCAATATCATAATTATATATTTGTATACTTTATCTAACTTCTAAAGGGCTTCTAAAAAGAAGGCATCATAGAAAGGAATAGTGTGCTTAAATCTGCACACAAAAAACCGTTTTCATGTAGTTGCTTCTGCCTCTGAACGTAAAACTATAGAGGCTACATTAAAACTGATGGTTGTTTTACAAAGAGAAGACAAAAGTTTACAAGTAGATAAAGTTTCATTAGTTTAGAGCAAACATTAAAAAGAAAAAAGTGTCAAAGTACAGGCTAGCTGGTGGAAGTCAACCATTTCGTCGTTTACCCTGAGACTGGGGTTTTTTTTGAAGAGCAGAAGTAACAGAAAAAACAGACAGGTCTCAAACTCAGCTACACGTTTATTTCAACAACTTCCTCTTATATAGTTCATTCTCGTCGTCAACAACCAATCACATACGACTTGTCCTTTGCACCGTTACTTTACATGTTCCACTCTATCACAAAAGAAGCGGACACTCCCAACGTTTCCAAGTGAAAAGGTTCTAGCAGAAGATATGCCTCACAAAGCTTCAAGCACCTCTTTTGTGTCCTCACAATAAACAGGACAACAGCCCATAACAACATCCCACTCAAAACTGGTCACCTCCAAAATTGTAGAAAACAGACAATACACACCAGTACACACCACAGACAATACACACCAAAGAAGCCTTTCAGGATGACTAACTAAAAAAAAAAAAATTACTTAAAATTGTAAAAATTGCTTGCAGCGGTTCCCTATTTGCATGGAAGGTTGACTAATGCAATTTCCCAACGATCTAATCCTAATTGTTTCTCTTACCACCCTTTTAACATCGTTGCTTTCCTTAACAACTACAACCGTTCCGGACCAATCCGTTGTGCAGTTTCTACACTCCTCCACATGCTTAGCCAACTCCGAATTTGCTGCATTATTTTTAACATTCCTTTTGTGTTCTGTTAAACGATCGTTCAAACACCGAGGTTTGGCCTACATACTTAAAACCACACGCCAAAGGAACCTCATACACCACGCCTACGCTACACGCCACCGACTTTTCCCTATGTTAGAAAGAGTTAGAAAGGAGTTCGTTAAAACTGTTGCAGACAGATAAAACAGGAAGGTTTGCAGTTTTGCCTGTACAGGCCTTTCAGAAGAAGTCGGAGGAAGCGTTGGCATCATTGTTTAATGAATGGAAGGGCAATATCGGGAAGCTGAGGAAGAGCATTTGCAAGGTTTTTCAGGAGGAAAGCATGGAAGAGGTAGCGAAAAGCGTTTTGAAACCGTTGCGTTCAACGCTCAACCTTAAATTCTTTTTGAAGGATCATAAGATTGAAATGCCCCTACGTATCGTTGTTAACGAGAATGGGACGTGGCAGAAGGTGGTCTCATGCTTCTTACAGCGGGGTTTGGAGTTAGCTAATTTGGAGAAGTCAATTGCCTTAAAGAACTCTAGTGAGTTGATTGAAGTAATGGAAAAGTTTCACGGAAGGAAGTGCGCGGTATTCTCCATGGACATCAAGGACCTATATTACTCTTTAGAGAAAAGCAGACTAATGAATAGTGTGAGGATTGCCTTGGAAGGGAACCTTATTAAGTTTCAATCAGGAACAGGAATAGCGGTGGATAGTTTTCTTACGGTGCTAGACCTTTATTTAAAGTCAACGGTATTGGAATACGAAGGTCGCAATTTTGTGCAAAAAGAGGGAGTCTGTATAGGTTCGTCTGTAGCGCCTTTGTTAGCGGAAATTTACTTAAACACGGTGGACCAGCAAGTGTATGACAAGGTAGAAGAGTTGTCTCCAAAGTGTTTTGTGAAAAGATTTGTGGATGATATTTTAGTTTGCTCTGTTCAGGAAGGATTGGACCAAGTTTTAGAACAAGTAGTAAGGTCAGCGGCGCCAGGGTTGAGATTCACGTTAGAGAGGCCAAGGGGCGAGGTCCTGCAATTTCTCGACCTGCGTTTACATTTGGAACGAGGTCTTTGTAAAGAGTATGGGAAGGAAAACCCAAAACCGGTTCTGTCAAAGAGTAGCTGTCACTCGAAAAATGTAAAAGCCGGGTAGTCAGATCTTTGATTAGTAATGCTTTGGTGAGATCATGCATGCATTTCGGACCGGAGGCACTAAAAAATCAGTGGGAAAGACTGGTAATGGCAGGATATGGGGAAGAGTACATCAAAAGGCAGATTGCCCTACAGTGCAGAGAGAAAAAAGGGAAGACGCAAGAAATCAGGAATAGGTACGCTGTGGTTCCGTATTTTCACGAGGTGTCCTACAATCTTGGAGCATGTGCAAAAAAATATGGCGCAGATGTCGTATTCAGCACGGATTTTAGGTTAGATAGATTGACACCTTTTGAAACGGTTCAGAGGGGCTGTCAGAAGGCGCATAGGGAAAAGTCGGTGGCGTGTAGCGTAGGCGTGGTGTATGAGGTTCCTTTGGCGTGTGGTTTTAAGTATGTAGGCCAAACCTCTCGGTGTTTGAACGATCGTTTAACAGAACACAAAAGGAATGTTAAAAATAATGCAGCAAATTCGGAGTTGGCTAAGCATCTGGAGGAGTGTAGAAACTGCACAACGGATTGGTCCGGAACGGATGTAGTTGTTAAGGAAAGCAACGATGTTAAAAGGGTGGTAAGAGAAACAATTAGGATTAGATCGTTGGGAAATTGCATTAGTCAACCTTCCATGCAAACAGGGAACCGCTGCAAGCAATTTTTACAGTTTTAAGTGTTTTTTTTTTTTTGTTTTAGTCATCCTGAAAGGCTTCTTTGGTGTGTATTGTCTGTGGTGTGTACTGGAGTGTATTGTCTGTTTTCTACAATTTTGGAGGTGACCAGTTTCGAGTGGGATGATGTTGTGGGCTGTTGTCCTGTTTATTGTGAGGACACAAAAGAGTTGCTTGAAGCTTTGTGAGGCATATCTTCTGCTAGAACCTTTTCACTTGGAAACGTTGGGAGTGTCCGCTTCTTTTGTGATAGAGTGGAACCTGTAAAGTCACGGTGCAAAGGACAAGTCGTATGTGATTGGTTGTTGACGACGAGAATGAACTATATAAGAGGAAGTTGTTGAAATAAACGTGTAGCTGAGTTTGAGACCTGTCTGTTTTTTCTGTTACTTCTGCTCTTCAAAAAACCCCCCAGTCTCAGGGTAAACGACGAAATGATTAAAAAGAAAGCGTCTCCGACCCACATCTTCCCAGGAAACTGACAGGGTACTTATATTTGCCAAGGTTTAAAATTAGTAAAGTGGTTAGTTGGGCGAGTTGGTAATGATTGAACATGGTTAAAATTGCGCACAATTTTAACCATGTTTAAAATTAGCTTTCTCTCTGCCCAAAAATCGCCGGTCAAGACGTGACCAGCTTGAGGCACTCTCAGTCCCTTTTCCAGGGCACTTGCCATTTGAACTAGAGTACCAAATACAGCCATGTCTCTTTTGCTATGCAATTTTTCCCATGCAACCTATCTTTTGCCATGCAATTTTGCCCCGTTAATATAAAAACCCTCTGTCCGGAATATGGACAGCTTTTTGGGAAGCACGAATTGGCTAAATGTGGGCATTTTTGTTTTATTATTATGGACACCAGTACCGCAGTATAAAACAAAAAGTACAAAAACTTCCCTTCCACACCGCTCGCCCACCCTCGGTGAACCTGCTAAAGTGTTTATAAAACAATTATCTGAAGCCATTGTGAACAAGACGTGACTTGCACCAAATTTTGACTAGGGCTAGAATGTGCCCTATTTTCCCCAATTTTATTAGCGCTTCTTTTTGGATGGAGGTCGTGGTGGTACAGAGCTGGCTGAAGTCTGCAATTGCCACTTTGAAGCTGTTCCAACTGCGGGATACTCAACTCTCAGCACTCGTCTGTACGGTATTCTGAGCACAGGCAAAAATGTTTCTTGTGACACTGGTTCTCTCGGCGCACAGCTCACACTACAACACCTTGATGCGACTCGCCCCCACTTCTGCCGGGGAGCGCATAATTTTTCCATGAAAACATGGGTAAAAAAGATATTTCTGGCACTGTTAGTGCCATCTATCGCCGAGCACAGATCTCTACCTATTGCAGAGGTGCTTTCAACCTTGACGACACTTTCAGAGGAACTTTCAACCTGAGCGACAAGAGAGCAAAGCGACCCAGAAAGCCGCAAAGCGGCTTACCGGGTTGCTTGTCTTCCCCTTTGCCCTCTGGTGACACAAATAGGGAAAAGCAGGAACCTCTCATTGCTGCCAGTAGAAAGTTGTCTCCTCCTAAAACTTGTGCGGCCAGCATAATTTGAAAATTCATAACGTCACGAAAAAGTTGATTAAAAAAAATATTTTGGCTAGCAGTTGAGATAGGTTAATGATGCAGACTGCCATTATCCAGTCAAATCGAAGACTATAAAAAAGACTGGCAGAGTTGCCTTTTAAAACAACATACCTTCTTCCTCAGCTTCTTCAGGGAGAGCTGCTGATCCTCTGCGTCTCGCAACACTGTCTTCAAGGTCTTCTTCCACTTGAACCGCTTCTTGTCAGAGTCTGCAGCTGTGATCCACAACAGGTCCAGAGACACATGATCAAAACACTCTACGACCTTTTAATCTTTTTTTGTGGAAACACCTCTCTTTCGTAAATTATTCTCCAGCACCCCAATACCTACAATACAAACAACCTATACTTTGCAAATGGTTCCAATACTAGAGGCATATTTTCACTATGCCTGCTTATGAGGTTTGGAACAGCCCATCTGGTGCCTGCTTTTGAACCCTTCTGTTTGCTCATAAAAAGAAAATGTTAGAAATTAAGAAAAGTTTGTTTGCCTTTTGCACATAGATTTTTGCTGTCGAATCTGTGGCTCATTAGGACCTATATCCTTGCGTTTTATTTAGAATCCTTGTTTCCAATGATAGATGACGAATTTACAGTCACAATCCCCTTATTGTGGACTCGGCAATTGTACCGGGGAGGAGAAGTTCAGTGCCTCAATGGTTCGCACTAGAGGTGTGCGAATACCAAAATCTTTCAAAGCAAATCGAATAGTAAAGGTTACGAATCAAATATTTTGGAATATGATTAGTTTCGAATATGAATATTTTCTAATACAAATTTTTCAGTTTGATGGGATTTATGAAAACGTTAACTTTATTGCAATAAGAAAAATGTCACACATGTGACTCATAAAAAACATAAAATAAAATATCAGTCAGTAAAATACCATTCAAAGAGTGAAGTTAAAGGACGTAAACAAAAGTACTCAAGCGGAGGCGGGTCGGCAAGCCACAACACAGTCAGAGATCGCGTCGCGGATGAATGCAACCCCGTGAACGTAAACGAAAGTACACAAGTGGTGGCAGGTCGGCCTGCCCCAATACAAAATCGAAAATCGCATCCCGCAGCTGCACCGACCTTGTGCAATCTCTTTTAAGCGGGTGAACGTAACCATTTGAACATAAACGTAACTACACAATAGAGGCGGGTCGAGTCGGGTCAGCAGGCGACAGCTGAGTCGGAGATTGACCTTGCGCAATCTCTTTCGGTGCACAATAGTTCTGCCGAAAGAGGGTGCCACAAGAAAGCTATAAATTAAGAATACAGCTTTTTTCAACTGTGGGAGCAAATCTGCCACTTTTACCAGTTAAAACGGGTAGAAATAAATTAAAGGAATACTGCAAAACTGATGGTCCAGAAAATCAAGCGGCAAAATAACACGAGCGGCTAGATCTATCACGGCAACGACGGTAACAGCGTAACCACTGTAACAAACATCACCAATAGCTGAGGTTAGCCGTAAATCCATATCAGATTCCACAGCACCTTGAATACTGTAGCGATCTTCTTCACAACGATGCACGTGTTGTTGCAAATCATAGTACTTCATCAAATCTTTTGCAGCAATGGCTCCGATCGTGTTTGCACCACGACCACTTCACCAACTCCGCAATCCAGACATCACGGCAAGCGAAGGGCAGATAGTGCTACTGTGTGCAAATAACTTTCTAGTGATTCATACAAAAAAAAAAAAGCACTTGGGTTGTTTTTTTTTACATTTGCAAAGCTCAAAATTACACTGCGCAGTCCAAAAACAAACTGGGAACGCAACTGCGGGTCGAGACTAATTAGCAAGTTCTGCATTATTCGTAGCTTTCAAATATTCAAAGAACTCTAATATTTTAAGCAGTAAAAGTATGAAGCAAAGCAAATCGAATAGCAAGCACTATTTGTGAGGTATTCTAAGTTTTGAATATTCCACACCCCTAGTTCTTAATTAATTACATTGCTTGTTTCAAAGCGGGCAGGAAACAAGATTATTTAAAAAGCAGGAAATAATTACACTAGCGTTATTTGCTTTTCCTAGGTTAATTCAGATTACTGTACCTCAGAACAATTTTCATTGCGTTTCAATTACCCTTGCACTTTGTGATAAAAATTTGTTGCCATACCAAGAAAATAAGCATGTCTTGAACACAGTTCATATACTGTGTGAAGTAGTTATTACAAGATATGGCGGTCAGAAAAAAAATTATGCATTTTGCATCTGAAATGTGCATGTTTTGATAAGATAACAAGTAATTATCTTAAATGTAAATACGAGCATCTTAACTTCCAACCTAAAGGGGGAAATTAGTGGTGCTCTGCAAGAAGCCAAACATTTCTGCTGCAGTCCTTGTAGTGAAAATGAGTATAGTATCAAAGAAATGCAGGCAGTTGTACACCTAGAGCGAGAGGACCTTATGCATCCGGTTAGAGACATCTGTATGCGATAGCAGAATGGCCCACAGCGGCACGACTCAAACAGCATTATAAAAAAATATAGGCTTTGGTTTCAGCGCCGTGGTACTTCAGCCACAATGACTGCCCATTCGACTGCGAATTTCCCAGCTGAGCAAGTAACTCACAAGCTTATATTTGTTACATAATGCCAGGCACGATAAGAGTTTTCTTAATTTGTACTTTCTCAGAATGCAAAGGTCAAAGTTGACTCTTAAAAGGGCACTGAAGTCGATTCTGAGATCGTCTTTTTGCGGCGACAACTCAGTCTAGATGCTCTAAGCATCCCAACAAGCCCGGAATTACAATCGTGCGTAGCTTATTTCCTTGTTAAAAACATGTTCAAAGATAACGACATGCCCCTTTCGGGAAGAATTTTCTTTCCAGTGATATTGTCGATGAAAGGCGCTTATCGGCGAGTTGCAAGCGATGGCTTCGCCTCGGAGAAGAAGAAGAGTCTCATCCGAATGTGCATCATCAGACTCTTCAAAACGAGTTATGATAAAATCATTCGGAATCGAGCTGCAAGCGATGACTTCGCCTCGGAGAAAAAGAAGAGTCTCATCCGAATGTGTACCATCAGACTTTTCAAAACGAGTTATGATAAAATCGTTTGGAATATGCGCGTATTGTAGGGCTTTCATTGGTCCACACAATGTGGTCCACCAGAAAAAAAAGTCCACATGTTCTTCTACTGCCCCGAGATGAATAGGCAGTTTTATACATCTGAGCACCTCTGTGCAAAATCTCACGGCGTAATTCAAACACAAAATATAAAAAATGAAATAATTTCGGTAGGAGAAACGCACCAAGAGACATCCCGAAAGAGAAAACTGACGTCAAAACTCCCGCACTTCGCATTCCACCATTGCGCGGTAGATCGCCACCATCTTGGACTCGTTGGAAAGCTATTTTCTTTGTCTATGTTTCGGCACCATTTAAAATGGCACTGGCCTAGGGAAGCAGAGATATCGCAGTTTTTCCCGGGGAAGATACCGCACTCCTGATTGGTTACCGAGCACGGGTCACGGAGAGGACTGCTGCTATTGGTCGGAGCGAGAGCCTACTCTCCAAAACTTTGTGGCCTTATCTCCCTCCTTCGCCCCAACAAATGGCGAAGGGGGCGTCTGCTACCACGGCCGTATTGTTACGTGCTGACTTCTGTCAATAAGGGAGGTGGAGCTTTTTAGGGGCTAGCCATGTCCGTATGTCCGTTCGATGTCCGGTGTCGGGTGCTTGTGCTCACGAGCACGTGAGCGCGTGCTCTTGTGCTCGTGTAGGGAAAAAAAAGTAACCGCATGTCCACGTGGTGAATGATGTCAATTGAGGTGAAGCTCTGGTGGTGCTTGTCTGCATAGACGGTGAGCCCCAGCATGCCGAGCCTTTCGTTCGTTTTCATCCATGTCAGAAAGAGAATGTGCGGTATGGAACGTGGTTATATATGCATTTGAGCATTTGACCGGAGCGTGACATAGGTGAAAACGAATGAAAAGCTCGGCATGCTGCGGTTCAGCGTCTACGCAGACAAGCACCACCAGAGCTTTGCCCCAATCAACATCATTCACCACGTGGAGATGCGATTTTTTTTTTTTGCGTTCACCTGCTTGGCTTAGCTTCACATCTTTCCGGAGCCATCGTAATTGTTTGCGATGCCTAGCGACCCTTGTTTCAAGGGGTCTACGCAGGGTGTGCACAAAAAGCGGAAACGACGTGCATGGAACAAGAACTTGCTTGCATCGCGAGTCACTTTGCCCGCGGCGGACTCCCATGAAGTTTTGCTACCAGCGGCTGCGTCGTTTTCGCCAGCTCCTGAGCCGGACACTGAAGTGGACAGCACCATCGGTGGTAGTATGCCACCGATGGTGCTGCCGTGCATTCTGCATTTTCGCCGGACGAAAATGCAGAATGCACGGCGCGGGCGAACAAGTGAAAGCAAGACATGGCAGAAAAGTCCATGACAGAACGGAAGTTTGACCTTCTGAATGTCACCCGCGAAAATGAAATGGTTGATTCCGGTACTCAGTTTATCATCATGGACCTAAAGGTGCTGAACACTTTTCCTTTGCATATGCTTTGTAAGTAAAACCATTTGTTTCGAGGACAACAGAGTTGCCCCAGATTGTCATAATCTTACTGTAGCTCAGCGCCTTTCTATTTTAATGAATTTTGTGTCTTTGTTATCGGAAGAAAAGTCATCAGTTAAAACTAAACATCGTGCCACCAAGTTATGAATTTCAACAAATTGCAGTGACTTTTCCACAATCTTTCTGGCTTTGTGTAGAGCTCAAGCTTAACTTCCATTCTCTAGAGTGACGGAATGGACGAGCACTTACCGGGACCATTCTCCTCGTCTTGTGGCTTTGACTTCTTAGCTGGGCTTCCGTTGTCGGCGTTCTGTTTCGCATTGTTTGACACGGTTTCCTGACTGTCGTCCCGTGGTCGCTTGGGCGGCTGCTCCTGCTTTGGCTGCTGTGCCTTCTGAATTGTCTGCCAGACTTCTTCTGCCAGTGCTTCACTTGATACAGACATGCTGGACTTGAGGAAATTCTGTAGAGATTGAAGAAAAAGTCTTAGAACATTTTACTTCTGTCTGTCCTCAGCCTGTCTGTAACAATGGTGACGTGTTCGGGAAGAGTACAAGTGCTGCCCATGACATGGTAGTTGCTACATGAAAGTGGCCCTAAGAAAAATGGACAGATGTTTTTTTTTATTCATGCACTGCACAATATTTCACCTTAAGTGTGCAAGGCACTAGTAAAAATCTGTGCACAGTACCAGGCTCTCTTCCGAGGCATAGTTTTAGCACCACGAAGGACCTTGGCACCTTTTTGACACATTCAAACTACCGTAATTACCAGGGACAGAATTTCTCCAGCTTCTTTGCCACGCCGCAAATCCTGGAGGTGCAAAATATCGACCAAGCAGCCACCCAAACTCTTAAGCTAACTGGGACAAACTTCGGTGTGGATGTCTGGTTGGTCCAAAGCTGCAAATGATTGGGAAATATAAAATTTAACCCTAGGAGGTGACAAGTGCTTTCTTGATCATAAATTACATGCTTGATATCTTACAACAAAGGTGTTTCAAACACGAGGCAAAGAGGCAACATATTGCCACATCATTTTAGATGCTTGTTTTTAAGGGGCGATGCGAGTCTTTTAAAGTAAAAATATTGCTAAAAACATAATTTTTAAGAAATCACAATTTTGAAGCCCTCATGGCACAGAGTATACACTCCCAAAATGTGACTGCTCAATTTGGTCTATAATAATTAAATAATGACAACCTGTAAGCATTAAAGAACATGACCACGGACCCGACCGGCACCATCTCGGTCTTGTCTGAAAGCTGGTTTTTCACGCTTTGCTTCGGCGCGCCCCTAAGTGGCGTCCAAATCAAGGCGGCAACGTCATCTTTACTTTTCGGAAGAAGGTGAGCAGAGCTCGAGAGACGTTGACTGTTGAAAGCGCACGCCCCCCAAAAGCGCCACTCTCCGATCGGCCTTGGCGTGCACCTCCTCTCTTGGCTTCACTGGCCTGCTCTTTTGCACAGTGCTGTTAGCATAGTGAGAAAGTCACTAAATTTAGCATGTTTTCAGCCGTCCTAACAACAATGCTATCTTTTTGAAGTCTTGGCCACTTTGGAGGGGACTATTTTTTTGTTTTGTTTCTTACAGTTAGGTAAATTGTTGTTACTAGAGCTACATAGACGCTAAAGCCCATACTCGCTACTCGCTAAAGCCCATAAACGTGCAATCCTTGTATTAACAAAAAATTAAAAAGGGAAAACAGGTCAGTAGGATAGCTATCCGGCGGCTTCCAAGGGGCAGCTCTGGATGTCAGTCGTTTTTCTTCATCCTGTCGAGGGTGAGGGTGACGCAAGGTAGCGTTGGTTGACGCGAAGACGACGACATTCTCAAACCCTGAAGTCCTTCAGAACTACTCTCTTTTTCCAGGGTAACCTAGCAGGTGTTCAGAAATTCCTTTGTGACCGTCACGAAAAGAAAAAACAAAGTTTCTTGAAGCGATCACTTTTGTTCGATAAGGAACAAGCAGATTCGTTCTACATGGTTGAAGTCAGCGAGCAATGTGAGGGAAATCGTAGAAGAATACGGGAGACAGGATAGATGCTGTCTATCCTGTCTCCCGTATTCTTCTACAGTTTCCTCACGCTGCTCACTGACTTTAACCATGTCTAACGCTTGCCAACTAGCCCAGCTCACCATCGCTACTCTTCTACAAATTTGTTCCACTGAGGGTGAAGACGTATACAAAAGGGGTATGACTTCAATGCAGTCTTCCTCTGTTTTGCTACTGGAACAGAATTTTCTCGCCAATGCCTCGAGTCACTCAAGGTGTTGGCAAGCGCCTTGGGAATGGGACAGCCGGCTCCGACTGTTTACTTGACTTGTCACCACAGAAAGTAATTTCAAATATTATGTCAAATAAAAAAAAAACCTTCATGTGTCTTATCCAATCGAAAAATAAAAAATTCAGGAAAAATAACCATCATCACTTAGCATCATCATCACTGGCGACTTTTAGGCCACGTCATGACGACTTCACCCAAAATAAATTAACAGCACTGCTCTCGCATGCTCCCTGTCATCTGTTTTTTTTTCGCTACGCCGTCCAAGATGCATGCTGCCTTTGCTCTTCTCCAGTTCCTATTTAATTATTGCTATCGTTTGCTTTCTGCTTCCTAGTGCTTTTCGTGCCCCACGTTTTTTCCTCATGTTGTGTGTAAATGTTTTTGTCCCGGAGTCGCTTTTCTTTTTAGCTTTTAATTTTTGTTTACATTAACCCACTTCGCATCATTGTTCTATATCACTTTGCTCATTTCGATGGCCAGTTTGAAAATGAACATGCGGAAAGTGCACAGTAAATGTAGACGTGCTTGAAATATGAAGAGTACCACGTCGTTGAAAATGAGTGTCAACTTCGGTAGCACCACAAGTCATTTTACCGCTTGTGAACACGACTGCACCAACAACTTCAGTGACACTGTACGACATTTCACCGCTAATGGATGAGGTCGAACCAAGCTTGAGCGCCGATCAGATTGATAAACGCAAAGAATCTGCAGAGGAAACAAAATCTTCATTGGCAGAGAAGTCGGTGACTTCGCAAAAGTTCGAGCTCCTCAACGTCAGCTTGGCAAGTGAAGATGACGATCGTGGCACAGATTATGTCATAGTGATCATAGAAGTGCTGCAGAAGTGCTTCCCATCTACGTCACACGGCAGGTACGAAATGGTCACTGTCGAACTTTTAGAGTGCAACGAGAGGCAGTATGGCCTAGCAGTGAAGCTAGCGCTCAAGTGCTCAATCTGCGAATTCACCAAGTGCCACTTCTTGCCGCCATAAGTAGCCGGAGCAGCCAAGATCACGCCTTTTGGCATCAACTTGAGAGCAATGAAGGGGATCCTAAGCATAGGAAAGGGAGTGGCTGCCCTCGCAAACCTCTGTGCCACAATGAACCTCTCCCACCAAGGCAGGGTGTCGAACCGGAACCGAACCGAACCGAAAACCGGAACAGAACCGTTATTTTTAGCCGAACCGGAACTGAACCGAACCGAAATCTTCGCCGCCATCTTGGAACCGAACCGGAACCGAACCGAAAAAAAATATAACGGTAACCGGTTCAAAACGGTTCAAGGTAATATTTTTTTTTTCTTTTTTGTTAGTATCACAAAATGAGCATATGGGAATAAAAAATTGGCGGCTGTATTTCTATCTACGGATCAAAACGTCATATACAGAATTGGAAAGTATGGTAAGTTGTGGGTTTTCATGGCACTATGATTAACCATGTGCCACGTTGTCACGTGACGCCATGGTGTCAATACATGTCACGTGACCTCGTGACGTCACATGACTCACTGCGTCAACTCGATTTAATTTGAGGAAGTCACTAGATGTATTAACGTTGTTGACAGCATGACGTAACATGACATCACGATTTCGCACCGAGAGTCACGTGACACCGTGACGTAAGCGATTTTCAGAACCCCTAGTCGAGTGCTCGGGTTCATGACAATCAGCACCGCCAAACATTCGGGTAACGGCTCATGTCAATTACTAATGATATTAGCCCAACTCTAACAATATCTGAAGCTCAGCCCAAGCTTTTGCTTTCCAAACCCTAGCCGCCTAGAGCAGGACTGTGATGAACACTGGCGGTATCAGATCACGTGGCCGCTTGTTTAAATTGCGAGTTGAGGAGATATCGACAGCTGTCTCTTTCCTTTATTTTTTCTGCATCGGCTATTAGGGTAAAACTAATGGATATTTCCGAAACCTACCAACGTTAGGGGTTATTTCTTAACACTATTTATTGAAAGTACAAGAAAAAATGTTGCAAGACCCATTTTACATTATTGAGGCACCCAAATATTTTTTCGTTGTTGCTGAACTGCATCCGAAAGATGCCCCTGAGAATAGAAGTACTGAAATTACTAAATGCGACTTATTAATATGACTTTACATAGAACTACACGTGTGTACGGAAGGAATACTAAAAAAAGAGGATATTTTAGTGACCTCAGAGAGACAGCCGAACGTTGGCAGTCGCTGTAAGTCTCACACGAGCGTCGTTCTCAAGTTATCGCCCAAGTTTCGACTCCCTCTGTACTTTGCTTAAAGGAGCTATAAAAATATTTCTATACATCACTAAATACTACTCAGGATCACTCCCTAACGTTAATAACTGCTTGAACTTGGCTTTGCTATTTTTTCTAGGCAATGGCAGTCGCCAAAAAAATTGGAGAACTATGAGCATCGTTCATCCCCTCAACTCGGAGCCAGAAGTGGCCATGTGGCCTGGTGCCTATCCTATGCCGCCAACGTTAATCATACTCCCGCACTGGGGTTTTAAAGGAAGAAAACGCGTGCTCAGCTCCAGGCATTGTTAGAGTTCGGCTATTCTCATCACCGCAGTGGTTGGACACGAGCCACTACCCAAGTGTCTGCCAAGACATTGATTGTTACGAGCCGATGTACGGTGCTCACGCAGTCCTCCTGTCCAATCCATGAGCCGCGCTCGACTGTCGTCAGACGGGTGGTTTTAATCCTACAATGGCGACATCAATCTTTGGGAAGGCAAGACTAAAAAAAATAGTCTCTTTTAGTCCTCGCAACTTCACGGCGACAAAGAAGCTTCTGAATTAGTGGCGGCCTGTGCGAGTGTACTTGGGCCAGAGGACCAGTACGCCTCGGAAAAGTCATGAACATTCCAACCCGATGTCGTTTTATGACCCACCTAAACTTCACGGGGTGCAAAATAAAAGCAATGAAGGGTTGCGGTTAACAAGTGTCAAATAAAATTGTCGAATGAACACACACCAACGGAGGAGGCAATTCCTCAGGAATACTTTCAGCCTTTCCACTCTGGTGAAGAAGGAAGACCAGCCAAGCTGTACTATGGTGTAAATGCAGTAATGGCCGGCCGCAAGTCGGCAAGCCAGAGTGGAAAGGCTGGAGAGGTTGCCGCCATCTATACGCGACGGCGGCAACCAGACAACCGGCAAGCCGGTTGTCTGGTTGCTG